TTTGTCAAATTACGCGATGGTTCGATGGATTTAAGTGTGAATTGCTGCGAAATTTGAGGCAATGGCATTCCCTGGATGAACGCCACCCCATGCAGTAAAATCTTGTCATACAAGAGAGCTTCGTACAGAACTCTTTGCTTCAATAGTTTCACGCGTTGTTGTCGTGCCTCTTCTGTGGAAGAATGAAGAGCGGCCAACATCTTCTGTTGTTCAGCAACCGTGTCGCAGCGCCTCCTGAACCCGGCAAGCTGAAGATCACTCAAAGCAAGAGCCTCTAGCCACTGATATCCATTTAGAAACTGTAGGTGCAAATCCGAAGGTGGTGAGAACGCGGGAAGAACTGTTTCCGCGCGTTCAGTTGCGGCGGCTGTCGACATATATCTATGTACAGAGCGCTCTTTCGACAGCTTAAAATGCCGACAGCATGGCTTTTGAGGAGCATGGTCGAAGTCCATTAGAGACTGCCTAGAGAATGTAGGAAGCTCGGGTGGATAGTCGGTATTGCTGGTATTGTTGGTGACTTTCTTGTCAAACTTAGACATTCGTTCAATCAACGATAGCGAATCTGAGAAATAATTGACCGCTAACTTTGCTTTTGTTTGCGGGCGGACTCGATGTGACCGAGCTTGACATATATTCCTCAACTTAAGACCAGTAACCAAACAAGCTGGATTCTCCATCATCTCAATATTGCCATCCCTTGACGTGGTTGGTGACAAGCCCCATCTGAGAATGATCCCTGGCCCACGATCGAAGGTTAACGATGTAGATATGGCAACCGCGCTATCATCGAGCATGCAAGTATCATTATGATCATGACTATTGCCATTCCAGAGTCTTGATTTAAAACCAGGACTCGTGTGTCCAATCGATTGGCGACAGGCCAACCGTGCGGTAAGCTTATCAACACGGCGATCAAGACTTCGCGTGGCTAACAGGAGACGCTTGATGCGTGCTCGGCGAGTCTCAGTTACATATGTTCCCCGCGACCTCTCTTTGGACAGGAGGACATTTTTGAACGAAGAAATGCGGTGTCCAGGCGAAATAAGTGCAGTGCCGACAAGTATAGTAGTGATGCATTCATCCTGTGAGCAAGGCTGCGCAATGCTTGGGGCGTAGCAAAGTGAGGTTCGTGGCGTTCGTATCATTGTTATATTTCTTCACATGACACTATTGCGGCAGATATTTGCGGTCGACTAAACGAACATGAAACTTTAAGGAAATTACGATGTTGGAACCAATAAGTGTGTATATATAGTATGATAGAAACAAGCATGGTATGAAATGGCATGGTGGAACCAATGGCTAATCATGAATATGCCGAAGTTTAAGTTCATGACATGGTACCGTTCCATCATGCGTCTCGAAGTTGATTCCATCATACATATTCGCCCATATTGTTTCCAGCGTTCATATGAGGATGTCTCGCAGGGGCAGCTGCGAGAGTTACGTGGGCTGGCCTACTGGCGTTAGCGCCAGGGAGGGAGGATCTCAGTAATTTGGGATAGGAAAGGGGAAAGGAGGAGAGAAAGGCCAGTCAGGGAGGCTGGGGTCCCTATGGATATGAAGATATTGATACCATGCATATTCGCGGGTATTGGTTCCAGCATGCCATTCCGGACAAGATATGTTACCATGATGATGGAGATGACAATGCACCCCCTTAACGTTGACCTCAACGTTCCTTATTACCCTAGTTTGGGGTATTTCACCCTAGGCCGCTAAGACTACCGAGACCGTCGGGACCGCCGGTCCTGGCGGGCCCGGGCGGAGGACCCAGCTCCGGGCCGTCGTCGAGCTCGACCGTCGAGACCGTCGGGGCGGGACCGCCGCGGACCGCCCCAGGACCGGGCGTAGGACCGCCACCTCCAGGACCGCCCGAAACCGCAGCTGCCGGCGGTTCCCGCGGGACCGCCCGGGGACCGCCGCGGGACCGCCGGCCGGACCGCCCGCCGAGGACCGCCGCGCTGCTGCGCCGGCGGTCTGCGCCGGCGGTCCCGCGGAGCTCGTCCCGGCGGTCCCACGGCCGGTCCCCGGAGGGCCCCCGGTCGGTCCCCGGTCGGTCTCGAGAAACAAGACCGCCCTACCCCCCTACATACTTTTTATCCTCGCAAGCTCGCTGCCTTGGGTATGTTCGGCTTGAGCCAGACTAAAATCGCAATGCCAACACAGGTGCTTTTCGCAGGGGATTTTCCAGCCGACGGAGTTTCCGGGGGTCCAAGGAGCGCTCCATGGCCTGGAGACCACGCCTGAGGTGAATATCAAGCTGTAGTTGGGGCCTGATGGCCTCGAGGTGCTTCAGGGAGCTATTCAATTTTAATCGCCTTTTCGTCAGCATGTATGCAAGCCCGACGCAAAGGGAAGTGCAAACGCCAAGATCCCAGTGCACTAGAACAACTGGTTTCCGCCTGGAGCCGAGTCCTTTTATAGGGGATTGGGCCCCCCCCCCCCCCCATTTACACCCCGGGTATGCCAACCTCCACCTCCGACACCCAAAGAATGACTCTGGAACTAAGGACTCAATTGCATCATGAACGAAATCGATGCAGTCTTTTAGTACTATAGTCAGTGAATACCAAGATGCGGTATCATGGCTTGTGGTATCATCGGCACTTATTACTATCTCGTGTCTTTCCAAACCGGCAGTTTCGGTGGCATCCGCCATCCAACGAAGCTTTGGATCCTTCTGACCTACAATAAACAAGGCGAGATGACCCCGCAATCACATAGCAACAAGATGAACCTCTATCAAAAATAGACAAAATCGATGTGAAACCACGATCCGTGGCAAATTGGGGATAAGCTGCTTGCCTTGATCCCAGCCACAAAGCGCCGCGGTCTAGACCGGCGGGCAGCACACATTGCGCAGGTTCCTTAAGAATATACTGCCTGATTAGCATCTGCACTTCTAGTTTGGCGAATTTGAAAGGTGAGCTGCCATCGGAACTCAACGCGTAGGGAGACGCCGAGTGTTTCAGGAGTAAGTCAACGACAGGTGTGAGGCCCGAGGAGCTTGCGTAATGCAGCGGTGTCCAATTCCAGAGTTTGTCCGGTAGCCACCGTGATGAATCACGTGACATTTTGGATAGCAATATTTCAACTATTGAGGCGGAGCCACTTAGAACAGCATGAATCAGCACTGATCGGCCGGCACGATCGCAAGCATGGCAGCTGGCGCCGTGCGCTAGGAGTAAAGCTGCACCGTCGAGCTCACCACGGCGACATGACGCAGCAAGAGGAGTCTCCTTGTTTGCATCTCGGGCCTCCATAGAGGCGCCTGCTTTGAGAAGAGCAGATATAATGCCAAGATGTCCATTCGCAGCAGCGTGGTGGAGACCTGTGCACTGTGTTGCATCTTGTGCATCAACTTCCTGGCCTTCTTCGAGATATTGCAAGACAATCTCCAGAACACCTGCGCGACAAGCCTGAGCGAACATTTCTCGGCCCACCCGTGGGTCCTCGACGTACTGTCCTCGTTCTCGAAGCACCTGGAGTGGTTCCCACTTGCCAGAAACTGAATTCTCGCGGTAATCATAACGGCGAAACTCGAGAGAGTGTGGCTGTTGGGCGTCTTGGAGGAGCTGATGTACCTCAGCCCACGGTGCTCCTTCAGTTGCTATCCCGTTTATTTCGGTTATAATCATGCCCGCGCACACCGCTGGGAAAAGCTCTGAGATACTCCGGCTCTGTTGGTCAGCGAGCACGTGGTCTTCGCTGATTTTCTCGGCTGTTTCACGCTCCAATTCAAACAGTTTTTCCAGGTGTTGATCTGCATGTTTCATGCCTTGGAACGCATTATCCTTAATGCGTTTGATCTCTCTGAGTGTATCACGAGCCTCCAGGAGCCGCTCACACCGGAGCTTTAGCTCATGGTATCGCCTCCATTGCTGCTCTGCTTGTACCTTTTCCTCAGTTTTTTTCATGAGCGTCACACGTTCCTTAAAATCGCCCATTTTGGGTCGTAATTCCAGGTATTCTTCTAATTCCTCTGGCCTATCATTCATCAACAGCCAGGCCGTTTCCCAATTTTTGTACGTTCGGTTTTTAGCGACAAATTCTTTACGCAATGAATCAACCTCAAACATCTGCTTTTCGCACGCACCCGCAGCAATATCGTGGTCTCGAACAGGGTTCTTCCAACTCACGACGACGGCGTTGAGACCGCCCGCCCCCGGCAGTAAGTTCAGTGTGAGAATAACGTTATCGAATTTGCCGTAATGTCTGCGTCTCGGAACCTGTTCCCACTTCACTTCGGTCGGCACATGCTTCACATCGGCACGTTTCTTCCGTTGATCACGTACTAGTGCCGACACTGCATACATAACTATGACGGGATAATCTAAAATTGCATTCACGGCAGGGGGCTACCTAAAAAAAAGTACCAGACAACATGCCAGATTTTTGGTGGCGCCGCCCGGCGCCCACCCACCCACCTCCCGACCAATCAGCGAGCTCCTTTTTCGTTGGTTGCCTTCAAGTTGCCGCGTCGCGCGCCGCTGGGCGATCGCTGAATTGCCACACCGCGCGCGCGGCGCCGCGGTCGACCGGGAGTCGCCGGTGCCGTTGCAGCAGCCGCCACCGTGCGGCCGCGGGTCAGCCGACGAACGCCGGGCGCGGCCCGACTCGATGAGGACACCGCCGTGGCCCATGGCACCTCCTCCCGGCTCCTGGCGCGGCGCGGGACGCGGGACGCGCGGGCTGCCGCCACGCGGAGGGACCCCCAGCAGACCCCGATTTTGGGGTAAACCATAGCCGCGTTTAAAGGACCGTTGTTCCGCCGAAACACCCCGATTCCTCGTCGATCTAGCCTCTTTTTATGAGTTTCTGCTAAAAGATCGTCGCGAGGTGCTCTGTGGCGCGGGACGCGCGGGGCGGGAGACGACGGCGAGCGCGGTCCGTCGGCCGCCGCCGCGCGCGTCGCGCGCCAGGGCTCCGCCGCGAGGACGTCGTCCGGCTTCCACGGCAGGTCTGAGGTCCCGGGATACGTCAGTGCCTCCGCGAAGGTCCGTGTGTCCTGGATCTCGGCTGGCGCCGCCGCCACGCCCCGGCGCGCGAGGCCGCCGCCGGGGTACACATACCCGCGGTTGGGGTCCGGCGCAACGCGCACTCGCCGCGGGTATTCGCGCGTCGTCGTCGCTGGCTGGTCCGTCC